ACTTTAGAACTGACGGTGGTGACTGTGGAACTGATGGTGGTGACAATGGCTTCATTAAAACATACAACTAAAACTATATAACTCAAGTCAATGGTTTCTTACTTATGAACTTTATTTAACTATTTAAAACTATTGAAAAAATAACAATCAGGAGCACTTCTACAAACATTTTTCAAGGAATATAAGGTACAGTTAAGCAATATCATTATTAGAAGTACCCCATCCCCATATCATCAAATATCAAATCATCATAGTAAAAGATAAAGTCATTACCAGTATGAATAATGTTCACTGCATCAGTGACATCACGTTAAACTGGTCCAGTGTCCTCTACTCCCAGCATGGCCCGATCCACTGGACTGTCTGAAGCAGTTTCTGGGTGATCTGAGCTTTTCTCTGACATTCGCTTGATGTCTACGTTTCCAAGCCTTCCTCTGACTTCTCTTCACTTTCATTCAAGTCATTGATTGAATTGAGTCACTGTTTTTTTTATCTTTCCCTCCTTCACCAAAGTTGAGTGTAATGACTATGAAATTGGGGGTAATTACAGTAAATGTTTTGGTTAAATGTTGCCATGCTGTTTTTTATTAGGCTTTAGTCATAGGAGATGCACAGCTTACTGGGGATATTATAAACTATGTGACATGTAGGTCGGTAGTAGGTGCACTATGAGCATCCCATATGGTCTAAGCTACATGAACATGGCATGATAGTGAAGTGAGAGAGGGAAGGCAAACCTCATCCCCCTAAATACATAAAGAAAATTATAAAAGAGGTTAATGAATCATTACAGATGAACTTTTATATTCTAGCCTCCATTGAGGAGCATTTGTAGGTTTTTTCATCACCTTCAGACAGAAAACGACTCTTTCACATGATATGCGTGAGTTTTTCACATCAGCCATCTTGTTTCCCCCTCTGGTTCTAGCTGCTTTAGACCTCTTCTTTAAAAGTAAACATTTATGTCATAATTTAATCTAATATTTGTTGACATGTTATGGTTGTTACATTAGCAGTGTTGAAAGATATGAACAAATTAAAGAGAAAATAGCAAACTTATAGGAGCTTGAGTGAACTTGAATCATGCAGGAGAGCTGAAGATTTAAAAACGGGGTCCTCAGGAATGTAGCTGACCTTTTAGTCGCCTGATTTTATTGCTTTTTATTAAATATCTGACGGTGGTGACAAATATGTGGGAAACATTTTGATCAATCACAAAATAATAGTAAATATTCAAAACTCACCGTTTGTAGTTTTAAATACATATTACCATGTTCTCTTTCATTTGGTAAACTTATAACTCAATTCAATTATTAATTTTTCTTTCTTTAGTCAAGTTGAAATGATTTTCTCCTATCCAAGGACAAATGATTTTACAGGCAATGGGCCGGAATATAATCACTTAATTAATTTTAGAAAAAAAAAAACCTTAAAAGAACCTTAGATATGTGCAACGGACCCTGATTAGAACCTTGATTATGAACATTTTATTTATTTCCAACAGAATTAACACTTTTCTTAGTGGGACGTGTTTTTGCCAAAGTGTCAAGAATCAGTGATAAATGAAAATTGGGTGAATAAAACTTAAAAATAATGGGTCTTTTTTGAACCGCAGTGATAAAGACGTGCTTGAGAAAAGTCTGGCTGTATTTAATTTATTCTACATCATTTTAACCAAAAATGTAGAAAATGTTAGACCTGTAGATCCAACAGTTCCAGAGCTGTGGGGCTTTGAACATTTGGCATCTCCAAATCGACCCACATAATCACACTGAAGCTTTTTAAAACATTTCTGAAGCAAATATTTTCCTATTTTTTTCAGAATCAGTGCATATAACAAAATGCAACATTTATAAACCTAAAATCTATTTAAAAACCTACTGCTTTTCAAGCTAAAATAAGCCGTATTTTTATTTTTTCAGCCTTCGGCTTTCTTAATAAAACAAAATCAGCGTCCAAACTTGAAAAATATCGCAGCGTCGTCAGTAAACGGGTTCCAGCTGCGCAGCGATCAGCCTCAGCTGCGTATTTCACTCTAACCGCTTTAGTAATAAATCTAATTTAACATCAGTGTGAAATTTATCACTTTATATAATCAAAAATTTTCATCCTGAAGCTGAACTGAAAATATTTAACAGCA